TTTCCTGGCTCTTTGAGAGCATGATTACAGAAAATACCTGATCTGCTTTTAGTATTGCCCAAAGTCTTCCTGTCTTAGCTCCAAGAGACACCCTACTCAGACCTACACCAGCTTGAGAGGAAGTTGAGTGATCACCAGCAGTGAACGTCTAACCCTGGGCACATATGAAGTACACAAGTGAACTAAGAATGCAGTAGCATCTTGTTGAAGAGTATGTGTGCTGTTCAGGGGCCTGCAAGTCCTTGGCAAACACTCAAATCTTAGGTGTCCACACATCTAAAAGTTTGAAAAAAATCTCATAAGCAGTACACATGGTTGGTGTCAGTTTTGCTCAGTTACACACATGAAGGAGCATCCAAGTGCAAGTACAATCACTTGGCCCTGCTCACTTTCATAATAAACTCGGTTTCTTTTCATAGCCACTTTCCTAAGAATAGTAACACCCAAAAAGAAAAATTAATTTTCAGGTATTTTATTTGACATGACTGAAGACATAACACTCAAAATACAATCCAGACAAGTTGTGAACAGCTCCAAACATCAGTGAAATCTGAATTTATCTTGCACAGAGGTGAACAAGACCACAATGGTTGGTTTTATAATACAGTTTAAGACTATTTCAAGCAGGTGAGTACTGTGACGTTATGCCCAACAACTTTTATACTATTCATCCGCTTAAGCCACTTCATATCATAAATATGCAGCTTATCTTGGCGATTAAATCTCTGCAATATATAATTAGCCTTCTCATAATAATGTATTAAAACTCCTGTAGATAAGTATTGGTATATTCATACCAATGTACACTGTCCTAACCATCACTGCACATTTACCATATTCTAGCACAATAGTTACTCCACCACAATTAGCTGCTAACTTTCAGCCTAGACTCCAGTAACTTGGACCCAAACTTGCAAGTTGCTGCTTAGAGCAAAACTTCTCCCAAGACCTTCTGCTTTACCTATGGATAGCAGGTCTTGTCTTTTCTCTATTAAGTTGCACAGTGTCATCTGAAACCCCTACCAAAAAACTGCTCTGCAGGGAATGTCCTGCAGTAGTTCAGAACTACAATTCTAAAAATGACTCATTTCCTAGTAAATGTCATCTTAATTTTACAGCCTAACATCCTTTATCAAAATGGGCACCCACATGCCTCTTACAATGTAAAGTTCTTTGACTGGCTTTTATACTACAGACCACAGCATAATACTCTACGTACAATTCTAATTCCTTAGAGAGACAAGCTAATTTTCCACTCTTAAAGAGGGCAACAAGGACAGCTGGGAGTTTGTTCCGTAGTTCAGTGCTCTGCAAAGATAAGCTTGACAGTGCTCTCATCAGACTGGAGGAGGAAGTGCAAAATTATGCAGACCACATTTTATAGTTACAGTAATTTCAGCCACAAGCTCCTGCCTGGATTCAGATAGGATCTTACAAAAGGTGAATAAGAAAGGGCAGAGAATCACTGCTGTGCAGGGAACTGTGCTCCAGAAAAGCCACAGAAACTACGTGTAGCATTCCCTGCAGACAAGCTGAAAACAGCACAAAAATCATGGGCTACCTGATCTTGCAGTTCACCTCCTCCTCACAGGGAATAGGGAAGGGTCTGCAGCCATTTATTAGACAAAATTCTGTGTTAAGGCCACTGAAAACAAATCTGCGCAGAATTGGACTGATTCGGTTTGACATAACATGCAAAGACACCAAAGCCTATTTCTCGTTAAGAATTTTGTCTTTTGGTAGGTGGAAGTGGTAGACAGAGACTGTGTATTACCTGCAGCTACAATACATGAGTGTTGCCTGACTTTGGAAGGTAGTTTTGTGTTTGTTGTTGGTTTTTTTTGTTTTTAAACTGGAGGAAATCCTTACTAAAACCCCAAAGCCTAGCGAGGAAGCTGTATACTCAGATACTACAACCTAAATTTTAACTTGGTTTTACAGGAGGATTCATCCATTATTATGATGAACTGCTGGAGATGGAATGGTCACTGCCTGAAACAAAGAAATGAAAACCCCAGCAACATACTAGTGCATCTGTGTAATGTGCTTAACTGGTATGACTTGCATTGCAGGAAGAATGTTGTATTCTCTGACACACCAACATTTCTTTCCTATTATTACAAGATCAGCCTTTTACATTTCATATCTTACCATCTTTAAAAGCCTATAATTACATAAGCTGATTGAGAAACTATGTTATTTAAAATTAACAGCTGAATGAAATCAACAGAGGCAAAGAACATTTTTATACAAGAAAATAGCACTGTAGAAAGAAAGAGTCTGTACAATATTTAAATATTGTATATACATAAAATTATATTGTTCATAACTCATCTTAAAGTTTCTCTTGTTTGTAAACCATGGAAAGCAACACACAAAAAAAAAATCCCAGTATTTAGCCTTTAAAGCATTTAGCAGGCAGCAGGAAATCGACTGCTAGCAAGCACACTTGGTAATTATAGAAAGTATCCAGCTGGATACTGTGACTGGCATTCTCCATAGTCCTTTATTATTTAAGTGTTTTTTTTAAAGCTGAATGCAGAACACATTTCCCATTCAATTAGGGAATTCTGCAGGAGACACAGAAAACTCAATGACAAAATGCAGTGGATATGTTCTGCAGCTCTTTACTGCGACAAAACTCCAGGATAAACACAGAAAGCTTAACTGCAGCTTTGGGACATAAATTAGTGAAAAAATTGATAAAGCTTTAATTTCCCAAAAGTGGCAGTAATGGATTTAACTCATACTCAATTTATTAGGAAGGAAGGTTGAGATTAATAATTAACATTGCAAAGTTTCTAAAAAGTAATGAATTCCAGCAGGTAATCAGGCAGCTCTGTATAAATGTGCTGAAAGTGTCAGCATTTTAGGGTGATTCTACAGGGTGGTATCAGCCTGCTAATTTGGAGTGGGATTTGGATTTGAATCTGAAGGTTTCAGTTCATGGCAGATAGAGAATGTAGGTTTCAGAAGTTTTCCACCTGTAGCATTTTGCAAAATAAAAACTATTCTAGTTGCAGAAGAAATTTTCCAGGCAAACATGCTTAAGAAAATGTTTCCAGAAACCTGTTATTTGGGAAACATGATGCTGTCATGACCATCATTGCATTTCCCCTGTGCTTGAGTTCTGTGCTCACAGCCATGCAAGCAATGCTTTATTTAATGCTATTTGTAGTTTGACTGTATTGGCTTCTGCCTTCCACTTTGTTGGTCATTCAACTCAACCCAGCAATGTATTTTACTCAATAAAAATTTTTGCCACACAGAATATATTATAGTACTTTTGATCTGAATGTTTTCACTCAAAATTTAAGTCATTTTAATGTTCCTAGACAGCTATCATCTAGCTGCACTTTCAAATCTCAACACAGGAATTAACAGGAAAAGAAATGTAATCACTTGGAGAAGAGCTTGATAAACCAGATGGGTCAGAGGGACCTTGACAGGCTGGAGAAATGTGCAGACAGGAACCTCAAAGTTCAGTGAAGGCAAGTGCAAAGTCCTGAACCTGGGGAGGAATAACCCCATGCACCAGTATGTGCTGGGGACCAACTGGTTGGGAAGCAGCTTGGTGGCAGAAAACAACCTTGGGATCTTGGCAGACACAAAGTTGAGCGTGAGCCAGCGATGTGCACATGCAACAAAGAAATGCCAACAGCCTCCTGGGCTGCACTGGGAACAGCAGCAGCAGCAGGCCAAGGAAAGCCATTATTCCCCTTTATTCAGCCCTGGTGAGACCACATCTGGAGTGCCAGGTCCAGTTCTGTGCTTCCCAACACACAAGAAACATGGACATACTGGACTGAAACCAGCAAAGGGTCATGAAGTTGATGAAGGGATTGGAGTATCCTTCATGTGAGAAGAGACAGAGCTGGGGCTGTTAGACTTGAGAAGGCTCAGGGGATGCTAGGAATGTGTACAAATGCCTGATAGCCAGACTTCTCAGAGGTATCCAGTGAAGGAACAAGGAAGAGGCAATGTGCACAAATTGAAACTTCAGAAATTGTTTTTAAACATACGAAAAACGTGGTTTTTTTCCAGTGAGCGTTGCCAAACAAGCTGCCCACAGTTTAGGCATCTCCATTTTGGAGATACTCAAAACTTGACAGAACAACCTGTTCAGGTTGGTACTACTTAGAGCTGAGAGGCTGGACCAGATAAGTCAATGGACGTTCCCTTCAACCTCAACTATCTGTGATTCTGTGGTTTCACACAGAGACTAATAAAAATAAGTTTAGAAGACTCAAAAGGGAAATAGCTTTTTTTTAAATAATTTTCCAAAGTATAATGAAGGTAATGCTAGCTAATTACACTAACAGCTTGTTCTGAGAGCTTTGACAATAAAGGCCTTGTTTTTAAACTGGAGCAAACAATATTAGGGCTCCAAAAATGTATTCCCTAAATCTAATTTTAAGGATTTCTGAGGATTATTTTTTTTCAGAACTTAAGGAATTCAGTTCCCATTTCTCTGAGTCATTGATTTTCAGCACTGAAATTCTGAAAGCGCTGGGCAAAATCAAAAGAACAAAAGAATACTACAGACTACTAATTTGTTCACATTGCCAGAGGATGGTGCTGTTTAAACAGATATCCCACACAGATACACCCCCTACAATAAACATGTGGGTTAGTGAGCTTTTCTTAGCAGGAAGAGGAAGAAGAACAAGGCAAAGAGATTACAATTTTATATCTTTTGTAACTAACTTTCAGGACCCAACAATAATCAGTGTTTAATTAATAAAGGTAGATCTTTAGGCATGCTTGAGTAACTTGGGAACTTTTACTACCTCTGGAACTTTTTGCTCCCAAAATTTTTTAAGGGTCTTTCGAAATTCAGCCTTTGGTCATCAAAGGGCACAACCATGACATACCCCACCTTACTAGCTGTTCTCATATAGCCTGCTGAAATTCAGGTTGATTAGATGATATATGAAAGTCAAAAAATGGAATAATGGAAGATCAGTCTCACAAACAGGCTGCGGTGGGGAAATGGACCGTTAGTAGTTTAAGAAATCAATACCAACTTTGACACTTTTAGAGGTTGCAACATCAATGGCCATGGCTTTGATTTCAGTGTCCCCAAACTGCATAAGTGTTTTGATCTCCCGCCGGTTTGGCACCGAAGCATCAGTTCCTGTGAGATCCAGGCGAAGGGTGCCACACTTCTTCACTCCAGATTCGGTGATGAAGCTAACGTTATCTTGTTCTGAGCTATAGATATTGATCACTATTACTAACTGAGAAGGTTTGGCAGGTGTGTAACTGCGTGTCACAGTTTCTCCAAGGGCTACAGATTGGTCAGCTGAGATAAATTTGTCAAAGACATCAGTGCACCAGCGTGTGCCATCTTTGATTAGAAGCTTCTCTGGTGGATGCTTCCCCTCCACGAACCGATTGAGCACACCGACGCCGTAGGTGAGAGGTGAGCGCCGCACTTTGATGACTGCAGGGTCTAGACCAAAGAGAACTGCTCCTTTGAGGATGGTGAGACCCACATCCTGAGGAATGATGACTCGACATCTTGAACCAAAAGCACTCTGGACAGCTTGTTGGAGTAAGGGGGACTCAGCAAAACCACCGACCAGGAACAGAAACTTGACATTGGTCACTTCTGGCTTATCAAACACTTCACCTAAACAGAAACAGAGCCCATTCAATAAGGAAAAATCCACTGTGACACTCAGCATTCCATGCACATGCACAAGACCTGAAACTGCCACATCTGTGCCCACACTCAGCATGCACTTCTGTAGTCTCTGCTACACTCTATTTCATTATGGATTCACTTACCTCACAACATACAATATTTCTGAAGTGGTATTTAAAACAGAATTTTTATTTAGCTTCTACCAGTAAAAGGAGACATTTCTTGCAAGAAAATCCTGCCAGTCACATTATGGGTAGTAGGGAAACAGACATCACCTTGCCACTTCAGGTATCAGTGAGACATTCTCAAACCTAAGCAAGTGACACACCCTTTATTGCATTCCAGGTAAGTCACCCCATTTTAAATTCACTTATTCTGACCCTCACATCTTAACCACAATAAATACCATCTGCAACATAATACCTCCTTATATTTTTACAGATGTTCCTTCTTAGCTTAAACCCACATCCTCTACCTTCAAGAAAATCATGCAGTTCAGTTGCAGGCTCACCTTTACTTCAGGTAACTGAGACAGCATAACCTTGTTACCTGTCACAACTGTTGGAATTCTAGGTCTCTTGCTCCCTGCTTACATATAAGCTGCTCTATACTAGTTGTCTTTCTAAGTTCTGACCACTGAAATTTGCCTAATAACCCCTCAGGTATAGTGAGCAAAGCTGGATATTCCATTCCAAGTATGCTTCAGTTAGTGCTCTGTAAAGTGCAGAACAGCAACACTTTGCTCCGTACATACACTGAACTTTACTTGAAACAAATCCAATCTTCCACTAGGAAGACCTTAAACAATAATTTTCCCAATAAGCCCATGTCACTTTCCGTTACTGGATAAATACATTCAGTGCTGCTTAAGCCATGCCTGGAAGTACTTTTACCATGATGCATCATTTTTTATTTGCATTTTGGAGATGTCAGTGATTTGGATGGTCATGAACAAACATGACCTTCCACTGGGGAGAAATGAACTAGATGTCTTAATAGCAGGAATAATCAGAAACTAGTTACATCTCTGGCATTATTTAGCTGTTGTCTAAAATAGGAAAAAGGAAAGCAGGATCTGGGTTTCTCAGTGTATTTCAGCCTTCTGAATGCTTGCAGCTCTGGAAGTACAGAATAATTGAAGCTTAGGCAGTAACAGAATTGAATTACACTCAGTAACTAGTACTAGAACTAGCTAGGAGGATGTCTTCAGGAGACATTCCTTACTTTTATTATTTTCCTGACTGATTTGTAGACAACTGCAAGTTTCAGAACTAAACCCCTTATCCACAACTGCTGCATACTAGAAGCGTTGTTTGACTTTAATTCCAGTTACTGGTTTGGAATAGGTAAGCAAAACATCAGTTTCAGCTCAGCCAGAAAGTGGAATTACACACAGATACGTACTAAGGTGCTGAACAATCTGGTCAATTGTAGGTTTGAAAAGAGCATTCATTGCATCAGGGCTCATCCTCAGCATTCCCTGGGAGGACCACTTCACAAAGTCCACACTGGAAAAGAACAGTTAGAGAGAGCATGAAAACATTACAGCTGGGCTGCAAGGCAATCACCAGACACACCAGATAAAGAAATGAGTGAGTTTACAGAATTTGCATGCATTTTGCTCAGAAGACAGTGCCCCACCTCACTCTTGCCCCACACCAACTGCAGCAATGTAAAATTTCAAGGGAGAATTATTATTTTTGCTTGTCTAATTGTTGTTTTCTTTGCCTGATTGCCTTCTGTAACATTAGCAATGCTCAACTGCTTCCTGAAACAGCTGGCAGTCAATCCAGTGCTCACTCATCTGAAACAGCACTGATTCATCCCCAGAAGGGCAACATTTAGATTATAGCATTAGCAGGCCAAAGCCACTGGAAAACAAGCAAGTTGGGAAGCCTCAGGAGGCAGAAGAGAGCACAGCATTTTTAATGAGGCATAGCATTTGTTAACTGAATACAGGCATTATGTTATTCCATCACTAATATACATCTATATAGCTCAGTAATTCCCCTTTCATTCATGCACATTATATGTCAACCTTTATACTCTTTCTACCCTGTTATCCAATTAATTTCATTTCATTTGAGGGGAACAAGACTCACCATTAGGACTATTAATAAAAAGGGGATGGTCTTATGAGGGGGAATATTTCCAGAAATTTTTAATGATTTCAGAACCTCAGTATCATGTAGAAAGTGACTCTTAGCTGGATTCCAAGTCATTTAGGCCTAAACTTACCAATAACTTTAAGAAGAGATGCAGGAGTTTCTTCCTGCATGCTACATTCAACATTCACTGAATTAAAAAACAGAGAAAAAATCCTGAAGTACAGGCACTAAATATCAAATATTCTCCTCTCGGAACCCAAGCATTCTGTTGCAGATTCACAGCCTTCCTTGTTCATTCTCTCTCATGCCACTAATCCAGGTTTCCTGAAGTATGCAATTTCAAAAGATGCAAAATGCCCACTCCTACTTTCTTCTAATTTCCTTTTTCTATAGCATCCCACGATCTTCTCATTTAGGGTGCCTTCTTGATACTGAAAATCACGAATTAAAATCTCTGGAGAGGATTATGTCTCCCTATTGAACAAATTATCTAACTGGTAAAATATTAGAAGAAAAAAACTTGCCATCACTTCAGAAGAAGAATGCTTTCCCCTTGCAGAGCTCTATTGCAGTAGTAAAAGTTTTCAGCAGTGATCTGATACTGTTAATAACTTTCCTCAAGCCATGAACATATTTACACATCTCACATTCGTGGATTTGCTTCAGGGCCCAGGCCCCCAAAAATGTAAGGTTCTAGGTAACTAACTTTTAGACATCAAATTCTGTGTTTGATCTGATGTTCCTAATAAACATGCAAGGAACTCACAATATACAGCAAAGTCAGGAAAGTGATTCAGTGGTGGCCTAAGGAAAGTCATAGAAAGCAATACCTGAAAAGTGCAAGCCTTGTACAGAAAAGCTTTTGCGAGGGATTGATCAGAACTTCTAATTCTGCAAAGTGAACTTCAGGCAACCCCGTTTTCTCACCCTTCTATCACATTTTGACACTATTATCTTTCAGCCTACATGTAATTAGGAAATTTTAAACATTTGTCTTTGCAACCAGTAGTTAACTCTGCATCCTTACGGTTTCAATTGTCTACTTACTTGCTTTTCCTCAAGGCATGTTCTACACTGTGACCGCGAAACTTCTTGTAATAGTCAATGAAGGAGAAAGGCAGAGTGATGTTCAGTGGGTTGGTCCTGTCTGGAGCTGCCGCTCGCTTACGGGACTCGAACGCTATCATCAGGTCTACCCAGGCAGCAGGACGCTTGATTTTAAATTGCTCAATAAAATCTTCTCCAAATATTTTACACAGGAGCTTTTCAAATTCATAGTCCACGCCTAGAGAACCATATGGCCCACCTGTACCACAAACAAAACACAGCTTTTATATTCTGAGCAGCTTATTACGTTTCATGTTGATCACATACACATCAGATCAAGACTATTAGGACTGACATGGAGAAGATCTACAGAAAGAGATAACTTTTCTAAAGGTAACAGCTGGTCTAATACACACCATGATCTTACCTTTGCCTCACTTTTACTCCTATATCATCATTGCCACTGGAACACTAACACTATAACACTAACACATAAACATTTTCATTAGAAGCAGAGGAAACGGCCTCCTTATCAACATATGAGAAGATGTAGGTTGGACTCGTATTTAGGAGTAGACACAGTTGATGTACACTGCCACATCTGCTCTTACTAGGCTGTTCCCTGAGGTAGCCCCTCAGACACCAAGACCAAGGCTCATTGAACCATACAGATGAATAACAACTTGATACAGAAACACAGCAGCAGATAAATAGTCTGAGTCATATGCTTAACAGCTTAGCCACAGGACAAACTCAAAGGGGAGCTGGAGTTCACAAAGGGAATACCATTCAAGGAACTGGATGTTTTATCTTTGTTGAGGATAAATCATTGTGCATTTTTCCCATAGGATGGTAGACTGTCCTTGCTACACTGCCTGTGAAACTACTGGGATAGGTAAGATTCCCCTTAAATCTACAGAAACTTCTATTCTGCCAACAGACACTTTACAAGGATCTTGTTGTGACACTCAGCGATTTATATCTCCACAGTCCATCTCTGAACACCTGGACAAGCAGCAATACACAGGTGACCTCTCAAAGGACAGAAAGATGATGATTCTACTAGCAGAAGTCAGACCAGGACCATGGCAGGAGGTCATGGCCTGAAGGGGAGTGAATAATGAAGGAGATGGCAGTTTCTTACACTCCTTTCTACAGTGTGACATTTGCCATCCAAAAGCATCAGATGTATTAAGTGATTCAGCTATGCCTACTGACCAGCAGCTAAGTTTTACTGAGTTTGAGTGCTGGTCTTATTTCAGGAAGAACTACTAGTAAAATGCAATTAATAATAAAGCGATACATTTCCTTCACCGACAAGTCAAAATATTACATGAATATATAATATGGAATATAATTGCATAAAGCAAGCAGTGCAAGTGACATCACCTGTTGCTTTGTACAGCTCCTTAAGATGTCCTTCAGGGAGCCTGATCTGATGGACAGTCATATCCACTGTGCCTCCTCCACTGTCAACAACGATGTAACGGTCACCTGGTTTGCCAAAGGGAAAGGCCAATGGAATTTGCATCAGTGTTACCACAATAGCACACTGCAATGAAAGTGATCCCAAGGCTTCTCAGGGGCATCAGCACCATGAGAGACAACGACCCTCAGAACGCCAGGAGTGTCTGTGCTGAAGACTTGATCTTTATTAGTCATTATAATGCAATGATTGATAATAAATATGAAAGTCAAAAGCTATTGATTTAGCACAGCTGACAGCAGATTAGTGCTGCTAGAGATTAGTTCATGCCACTGGTGTACATTCCAGTGGGCTACCAAATTAATACTCTGGCATATTTACAAGGCCTATTCTGAGGAAGATATTCTCATTGCATTTTAAAACCTGGATTGCTTTTGACCATCTCCTTAATAAACCATATTTTGCTACAGCATATGGAATTGCAGTTCAGCATTAGTAACTAAGTGCAGCACATGGACTTGTATTTCTTTTACTTTTCCTATTTATAGTCCCTGTGAGAACAATGCAGTGCACAGCACATTTGTGGGAAACACAATATTTGCCTGCAATACAAAACCAGTGAGAGCAAAGTTTCATCAAGAAAGGACATTACCTTCCTCCAGTTCAGACCAGATCTCTCCTATGACATTTTCCACCATAAAGGTACGACTCTGCCGATTACGACGCACGTGTTCCTTCGCTAGTGATTGACAGAGAAAAAATTACTGAGTATAAGAAAGCATGAAGAAGTTGATGTTATAAGCTGCAAGAAACAAGTGCAAGCAGGCTGACAGATCTGCATCACTTCTTAACAAAACAAATGAACAAAAATTATGGCATTGGAAGCAGGAACATTAGAATATCATTTGTAGAAGGGAGGAGAAAGGTTTTTCAGCCACACTGATCTTCCTTGATACTATTACATATATTTTAATATATACTAATAACCTAAAACAAATAATATACCTAATAAGAAAGCTATAAACAGGTCTGATTTGGGTTTTCTTTAAATATTCTGGCTTGTGAAGCACGGG